GCGCTGCCGGAGCCACCGGCACCAACCCACGCCAGCCGAGGGGCAGACAGACCCCGCTGGCACCCACAGAAGCCCTCCCGTGCGACCCAGGGGCACTCACTGCAGTTGTCCTCATCGGAGTTGTCCTCACAGTCCTTCTCGCCATCGCACTCCGGGTTCTGCTTGCTGATGCAGTCCCCGCTGCGGCACTTGTACGTGTAGTCCTTGCAGGACACCTTCACAGCGGCTGTTGCCAGAGGGAGAAGGGGAAGTCACCGCGTTCAGGAGCCACCCCCTCCTGCCCGGACACGCGTTGCGTGGGAGGAAACAGCCCGTCCTCACCCCTGTTGCAGCTGCCCTCGTCGCTGCCGTCGCCGCAGTCGTCGCTGCCGTCGCATTTCTGCGTCGCAGGGATGCACTTGCCGTTGTCGCACTTGAAGCTCTCCTCGGAGCAGCCTGCGGAAAGGGAAGCCCGTGAGAACCCCAGGGGCACAACGAGCCTCCTGCCACCGGGACGGGCCACTCACTGCACTTGAGCTCGTCGCTGTTGTCGCCGCAGTCGTTCACGGTGTCGCACACCCAGAACTTGGGCTTGCACCAGCCGTTCTGGCACTTGAACTGCTCCTCGGTGCAGGCTGCGGGGGGACAGCGAGAAGTTGCAAAGGAGGCAGAAGCCGCCGTGCGCTGGGCTCCTCGCCCCGCGCCAGGACACGCAGAGGAGGGACTTACTGCAACCCCTCTCGTCGCTGCCATCCGTGCAGTCCAGCCAGCCGTCGCAGCGCATGGCCGTGTCGATGCAGCGGCCCGTGTTGCAGGCGAACTTGCCGGGGCAGGCTGAGGGGGAGGAAGAGGAAGGAAGGGCCACGTGAGCCTTCCCCACGCCCGCACCAATCTCCCCAGGCAAACGATTGCCCCCGTTTCGGCTCTGGTTTCCACTCACGGTCGCTGGAGTCGTAGGACAGGTACTCGGCGGAGAAGCCGGTGTCGGTGTAGGACGCGTCCGAGTGGAACTGCACCTGGATTTTGCTGTTGGAGCTGGCCACCACGAACTGCGTGCGCTCCCCGCAGTACCTGCAGGGAAGGGGAGCGGAGAGGAACACTATGGAGCTAGCGCCGGGCGGCTTTGCTGCCCATCTCCAGCCCTCCCTCGCCACACGGGGTCAAGACCCTGGCTTGACACACTGATTGGAGATAGCAGGAACCCCTGTCATGCACGGGATGCAGGTTTTGACCCTGAAACGCCACCTCTTCGTGGCAGGGTCGGTTTTCCGGCCCGGAATACCGTGAGGCATCGTTGCCCACTTCCCCTGGCAGCAGCAGGTGGGATATGGGGCTGCGACCACCTTGTGCAAGAGGCAGCACACAACAAACCCATGGGCTCATCTGCGGGGCCAATGCACGGTGACATCCCGTTTGGGGAGGGCCACCACGACCGCATACCTCAGCACCACGCTGGGGAGGGCCTCACCTCGTGCCGTTGATGGCCACGTAGTCCTTGGTGCAGGAGCTCACGGGGATGCCCGGTTCCAGCACGAAGAACATGTTGAAACGCACCTTCACGTTCTGCTTCGAGGGCACCTGCACGCGGGGCCAGAAGCGGCACCGTCGGCCACGCAGATTCCCGGCCTCTGAGCAGCCTCCGCTGCCGCCGGCTCCTTTCCTCCCCGCCCCCCCGGCGGGGG